GAACCGGGATCATATATATATAGGGTTTAGGGTTTAGGGTTTAGGGTTTAGGGTTTAGGGTTTAGGGTACATACATAGTATACTCCCAAAGCCCTGAAAACCGCCAAACCCTACACCGAAGCCCCTAAGGCTGACGCAAGGCCTGGACGACCACACGCACCGGCCGACTTTGGAGCGGGTGGACCGGAGGCCCAGCCTTGAGTTGAGGGCTTCGGGGCGAGGGTCTCGTATGAATATGAAGGCTCAGCGATTCTGTTAGGACCTTAGGATTTTGGGTGCCTAAAAGTGTCTATAGTCCTACAAGGATCATCGCTTTTGAATTGTGTTACTCGTTGTAGGAAGCATGGTAGCGCAAGCGACGAGCAAGAATCTCAGAAACGATATCCTGGGATCCCATCCCGCCAGGATGCCCATCATCGCCAATCCCAGTGCTGCCTCCGTGGTAAAGGCCATGGGCTTCCAAGGCTCGGACACGAGTCAGGCATGGGGTTGAGGCATTTGGGTTTGTTTCTTGTTTTCGGTCCTTATGTCATCGCGCAGTGGGTAGAGAGACACAGTCAGTTGACAGGCTAAACTGTCGGAGTGCTGTGGATAGACGAGAAGGGGGGGTTTATCATTGGCCATGGGGCGAGCTTTCGACATATATGTATGCCTGCACGATGCACGCTTAGGTAACTTGCTTCTTGAACATGCCCTTGCCCCTGAAGATGTTTCCGTGTTGCGGCCGGACGAGTGCCTCGCAGCAACAAGTTTGCGTGATGTTCTTCGCTTTTGGCGGGATCGCTCTTGCAGATGTCCGAGCAAAATAAAGATGTCCCAGCCTTATGCGGCTAGTAGAAGAGAGTGGAGAGCAAATTCCTGAACACTTAGCAGCCTGCCCAGGCTGGGTTCAGCAATGCTGTCGCAAGAAACACGCCCGCAGTAAAAGTTATGCAGCATGGATGTTGGGGATCAGCAGCAACAGTACGTTGCAAAGGCCCCGGCTTCCTGAGCAAATAGCCCGGCAACAGCCATTGTCTCGGGCAGACCTCCCTCAAATTTTGTGTTTGTTGGGAGCCTCCTTTCAATTCAGTTATACAATCCCGATTCTTTCTTTTGGTTGCTGGGCTGGAGGTCTCGCTCGTGGGGGTCCCTGCGACTCACAGCAGTGCCCGGAAGCGTGGTTGGGCCGCCGTGGCAGGCAGGGGCGTGGGTGAAATGTACATGTATCTCAGCGTATATCTCTTCCTTTTATTTTTTTTTCTTCATTCCTTCTTTGCTTTCGTTCTCTCTTTCTTTCTTCATTCCTTATTTGCGTTCATCATTCCTTCGTTTCTTTCTTTCATTCTTTTGTTCTCTCTCTCTCTCTGTGTCTCTCTGTCTCTCTCTGTCTCTCTCTGTCTCTCTCTGTCTCTCTGTGTCT